AAGAAATATATTAAAAATAATTTATTTTAATAAAGATATTATAATATAAAACTATCTAATTATTTATTTATTATAAATAAGGAATTATATTAATATAAAGACTTAAGTTTAATTATTATTTTAAGTTAAATATAAATTCTAAAATAAGCTAAACCTAATTATAATAAGCTAAATCTTTAATATAATTAATTAAATTCTTTTTTTTTTAAGTTTATAAGTTAGCCCTAAAAGGTATATCTAAGCATCTTTAAAGTCTAATATAATTTAAATATTTATTACCCCTTAATAGGTAAAACTTAATTAAGTTAATATTATTATAGTTAGCTGCCTTAATTATAGCCTAAACCTAGCTATATATAACCTAGCTAGAGAGTCTTACTTACTCTTTAACTAGCGTAATTAGATTATTATAATTAATTAAAAGTACTTAAAATATTATAACCTTAGTAGTTATATTATATATACCTTATAAAAACTTATATAAAATATTAGCCCCTTAATAGTTATAAACTAATTAAAGCTAGATTACCTTATATATAAGATTATAATACTCTAAGAATTATTATAATCTAAGATTATTATAATTTAACTGCCTTAATAATCCTTATAGATTACCTCTAGTATATAAATAATATTTATTAGTACTTTATAGACTTTAACTTACTAGCTATTAATATGACTTCTTTATATTAATAAACCTAATAAGTATTACTTAGTTATTAAAAGATATAATAATTAACCTACTTAGTATTAATACCTTATATTATCTATAAATATAAACTTAATATAAACTAATTCCTTTATTTAAAATTATATTTATTATATATTAATAGCTCTTATTTAAAGTATATTATATTAAAATAACTAAGTAATATTATATTATTAAGATATCTAATAATACTAATATTAAATTAATACCTTCTTATATAAAAGTATTACCTAGTATAATTGAACTTATAGCTAAAGTTTAATAGTTATATAATACTATTTATAACTTATAAATATAAGTTAATAAGTAGTAAAATAATATACTTACTAGTAATAGTATTAGTAAACTATAAGAATAAGACCTTAGAGAAGTACTTAAGTTACCTAAGCTAAAACCTTTTAAAGGATAGGTAGTTAATATAATTTTATTTCTTATTTAAATAAAAGGATACTTTTACCTATTCCCTAATAAATTAAATATTACTATAAAGAAACTACTATTTATTATACCTTTAATTTAAGGGGATATTAAAGAATAATTAAAACTTATTATAAGAGATTTCCTTAAAAATAAAAAAGAGGATAATTAAGAATAAGATATTTAAAATATTTTTAGAGATTAAAATAACTTTAAATAAGCCCTTAAAGATAATTTTAAAGTAGTTAATAAAAAATACTAAGCTATTATAGAACTACTTATATTAAAATAATATAAGTTATATATTATATATTTAGCTAAGTTTTAGTAGCTTATTACTAAAACCTAGTAGGATAATAAGTCTCTTATAGAAATCTATTACTAAAGCTTAAAAGAAAAAGTTAAAAATAAATTATATCTAACTAATAAACCTAATAATCTAATTATATATATTATTATAGTAATTAAGATTAATAAATAATAATATAAATATAAAAGAAAGAAAGCTATATATTAATAAAAAAAAAATAACTTTAACTTATATTACCTTAATTAATAATATAATAATAACTAAGATAACTCTTAAAACTAAGAATAATAATAAGGAAATTAATAAAATAATACCTTATATAAAATATAATTAAGACTTATATTACTTAGAGTTATATAATAAGGTAATAATAGTAACTAATAATAAGATATATCTAAAGTTAAGTATTATAATTATAATAAATATAAATATATAATATATAACTGCCTAGAATTATAAAGACCTAGGGATTTAAACTAAGATAAGTAAACTCTAGGATTAACCTAATAATAAGACTTTAAAATAGCTATATAAACTTAGATATTAAGAATAATATAAAGTATATATAATATAATATAAAGTATAATATTTTAAAGAGATAATAAATTAAAATAAAAATATAAATATCCTAAAAGTTCTATTAAAGAACTATAAGATTTATTCCTAATATATAATAAAGCCTTAAAAGTAAAAATAAAAGGAAATTATATTAGTAATATAAGAAGTAAAGAATATTAAAAATAAATTAAAAGGTATTATTAAAATAAGAAGAAATAATATAATAATAACCCTAAATACTAAGTATTAGAGAACTAAAAGACTTAAGAATTAATATAAAAATAAAAAGATATTAAGAAAGAAAAATAACTTATAAAACTATAAACCTTAGGAGTTATTTAATAAGGAAACCTTATTATCCTAAATATAAAAAAATAAGATTAAATATTTAAAGTAGTAAATAATATTCTTATTAAAACTAAACTCTAAGATAAGAAAGAAATATAAAAAAAAGAAGTAAAAGCTAGAAATAAAATATAATAAAAATAATACTAATATTCTTAATAAATAAGATATAAGGGAGGAGTAATATAAGTAATTATATAATACCTCTACTATAAGGATAAATAAATTATAAAAAAGTAAATTAAAGAATATTAATTAAAATATAATAAGTTTAAAATAAGGATTTATAAAATATAAAAAGACTTTTATATTTAAGAAGCCAGGGAATATAAAGATATTAATAAAGGAAATATAATTTATATTAGAGTATATTATATTAATAGTATATTTAACCCCTTATATAAAAAACTAGCCTTTAATACTAAAGATAATATATAAATTATATTAATATATCCTTAATATAATAAGATACCTTAGGTATTATATAGGAATTACTAATATAAAAAGTATAAATAAGAGAAAATAAATAATAACTATTTTCTAGTAATAATACCTAATATATTAAATAATAGACCTTACCTAGAATATAAAATAAAGAGATACCTAGTATATATATAATATAATAACCTTAAAGTAATAAAATTATAATTTAATATACCTTATTACTAATACATTTATAAAACTAAGAATCTCTTAAAGAGAATTAAATAATTATAATAAATAATTAAAGAAGTAAAAAGAAAGTTTAATAAGCTAACTTAAGAAAAGTATATATATATAAGAAAGGAACTATTAGTTAATAATATAAGCTTAGAAGATACTAAAAAGCTATAAGGATAATAAGAAGTAGATAAATTATACCTAGAAGAGGAATATATCTTTAAACCTATTAACCCTAATAAAGGATTTAATTAGGTATTAGTTAATAATAAATAACCTAAGTAAGGGATTATATTAAATAAGGAACTTAAGATACTAATAAAGTTCTTTAAAAAACTATATATTACTAAAGGAAAGTCTATTAATAAATAAAAGAAAATCTAAAAATAATATAATAGATATAAATAAGAACTTATAAAAAAGTATTAAAAGCTAAGTATAATAGATTATATTAAAGGATATATAGATTTAGAAATATATTACTAAAGTTATTTTAATAATATTAAAGTATTATATAATAGGCAGATAATAAAATTAGAAAAATATAAAATATACCTAAAAATGCCTAAAGAATAATATATAGAACTAAAAGAATAGTTTTAGTAATAACTATTTAATAATAAGTTTATTAATAACTACCCTAATAGAGAAGGGTATAATAATAATAAATATAAATAAATATATTAAGATATATTAGGAAAGGTTATATATTATTTATAATAAAGTATTAGATAAGTAAAAAGTAAGGATAAGAAAGACTTAAATTAATAAAGACTCTAGAAGCTATATAAGATAATAAGCTAAACTACCTAATATTAAAAGTTTAAATTAAGGGAAAATAGCTAAATACTTAGATTAATTATAAAGCTAAAAGAAACTTTATTAATCTAAAAATAGTTATAAAGCTCTAGCTATTATAAAAAAAAAAGTAATTACCTTACCTGCTTATTAATATAGAAGGATAACTCTTTAATTATAATAATAATATTATAAATTAAGAGATTAATTACCTTAAGGTCTTTATATAAGGAAAAAATTAAGAAATAGACTTTAATATTATATTATTAAGATTAGTAAATATCCTCCTTAGTATATTATAGCTTAGATAAGTAAACCTAGATATTAACTAGCTAACTAGCTAAGTTATTATCCCTAGTAATATAAATAGTAATAAAAAAATAATTATAATAAGTAATAAGAGATTTTAAACCCTAATTAAAAAGGATAATATAGGTAAATATAAAATAAAGAATTTATTATTTTTAAAAGGAATATAATATAAGTATATAAAAAGTAAGAAATAATAAAACTATTATATCTTAGGTCTTCTTAGAACCTAATTATATAACCTAGATAAATAATTAAAACTCTAAAAGGAATTTAAAGAAAAAGAATAAAATAATAGACTTATGAATATTCTAGAAGAATACTATATCTATAAGAAATTATTTAAAAAAGAACTTAAAATAAAGGTATTA